TGGATGATACATTGTTGGTGTTTGTAGGGGATTTAGTAGGTTGAAGTATGGCTTGAATTGTTGTGATGAAAGATCTTGTTGGAGCATTATTTGAAGAAGTGTTTTGGATGTAAAAGGAGGTTGTTTCAGTGATTGGTTGATGGAATAGGCCATTGTCATTGGTTATGGGAATTTGATTTTCTTCAGACGATGGTGTGGCGTGTTGAAATGAAGATGCAAGGTTTTTGTAGCTAGTATCTATTGAGAACTCTTTTTGGAGTGATGATGATTATGAAGAGTAGTGTATGGGGGGTGTTGAGATATGATGAGGGGACCACTGGTTTAGGTGTTATAGGAAGGTTTTGGCTTATTTGGATTGGTGTAATTGTGGGTAAAAGAGCTTTGGCGTTTAGTTGAGTATTTTCTTATGTATCATTGTTAGTAGGGGGATCATGTGTGGTAGTGTCATGATGGTTGGCTAGTTTAGAAGGTTTCTTGTTGGTGTTGTATTTTGGAGGTAGATGTTTAGACAAGGTTTTTCTAATTAAGGGGTGTAAGGGATGATCGATTGTGTTGATAATTTTTTCCTAGGTCTCAGTAGGTGTGAGTATTGGTATTTGGAGAAGTGATAATGGTGGTGTGAAGGGGATTGAGGTAGGGTTAATTAAGTGGGTTGTAGGTGGTACAGGGTTGTCATGCAAGGTTTTGGTTATCATGAGGGTGGGTACGATATAGGGTTTGGCTTTGGGAAGTCGACTTGGTTATGGAGTGGAATATTATTGGTTGAATTTGTGGATTTGTGGGAGCCAGGTGGGATCTTGGGTTCTTGAGGAGTGGTATTGGGAGGGTGTGAGTGGTTTTTGGGGGAATTTCTGTTTTATTTTTTGTAATTTTTTTGCTTTTTGAATATGAGATTGTTTTTCATTGACTAGGTTGATCTTCATCACAATAGGATGTGGGAGGGATATCCTGCGATTGATTCGAAGTAGAAGGAGTTGAAAAAGTTGGACAATAGTGGAGATTATGCCCTAAGCATCCACATTTTGTGCAAATCATTGTTGAGTCCTCATAAAAGATTAGTTAAGTATGTGTGCCAAGGAGGATTTCTGAGGGAAGAGTTTTCCCTGGTGGAGCTAAATACAAAGTCTGGCATATCGACCTCTGGATGTGTGAACTGTGCATGTGTCCGTTTTTTATGAGTGTGCCAATAAATTTTGCTATTTTTTGTAGGATTTGTATATCATAGTATTCAGTGGGTAATTCCTGTAGACGAATCCATACGGTGGTGTAATTTCTGTGAGCTAGAGCTAGATTGAATTTAGGTTCTCATTGCCGGATAGTAAGGTACGGGATCCTATGAACCAAGGCCCATTTTGAAGTATTTTATTAAAATTCTTAATATGTTGGAATTTGATAAGATAATAGTCGTAGCCTAAATCAATTAGGCGAAGTGTTTCATTGAGTTGCAAAAGGGAGTTCAACTTAATTTTGAAGTTGGTGTATGATATTGTTTTCCTAGAAGTTTGATGATAATGGTTTTATGCCAAGGACGGTAGAGTCTAAGTTTATAATTTGAGGAGATATGAATGAAAAAAGGGTGATGGGATGGATTGGTGTTTTCATCATCTAGGGTTAGTTTTTTCAGGAAATCAGATTCTAGGTTGGGATCGATTGGAGGAGGAGAAGGTAGGGAGAGAGTGTCACGAAAGCTTACCTTGCTAGAGGGGTTGTTGCATGATTATGCTATAGTTTCCTTAGATTTGTTTGTAGCTTCCTTAGGTTTTTCAATGCTACGACTTAGTTGATCAGTTTCTTGATCTGAGAGTTCAATTTCCGAGGTTTCCTTCATGGAGTGAAGGTTGTAATTGGCTATTGGGAGGTGGTGTTATTGGTAGAACTCATTCTTCCTAGAAATTCTCTCTTCGTGAATCACACTTGTTCCTTTAACTACCGATGGAGTTGAATTAACTTTTCTTGTATACAATACAATAATTAGTATGCCAATTTTGTCTAAGTTGATGTGCAGGTCCGGCTAAAATAGCACCATTGGCTTAATAACTGACAAGCAAATCTTTCATTTGTATACTTACATGTGACGCACACTAAGGGGTCGTTGGGTAGGATGCATTAGAGAAAATAATATATGTATTAGTTTTTGGTATTACTCTTGTTTGGTACACTTTTTCAACCTATGTATTATTAATGCAAGTGCTAGTTATACAATTTATTTGGTATTATCATATATATAACCAGGGGCAGACCTATGTTGTGGGTTGAGGGGTCACGTGAACAATCCTGTATAAATATATGCCTTGACGTAACTGGTAAAGTTGATGTCATGTGATCAGGAGGTCACGGGCTCAAACCGTAAAAACAACCTTTTGTAGAAATGCAGGGTAAGGCTGCATACAATGACCCTTGTGGTCCTGCCCTTCTCAGAATCTCACGCATAACGGGAGCTTAGTGCACCAGGCTACCCTTTTTTCATATGTGTAAATATATATGGGACCCCTTAAATATTTAACTTGTACCCAAAAAGGCGGATGGGAGAAGTTGTTGCGTTGGGCTTAAATTCTCTCCTTCGCTGGATAATATGGGTTCTGGAAACCCACCTCCAGCTTTTTCTCGTAGAAATAGCGTGGGATAGCCACTTTTTAATGTGGTATTTAGTTTTTATCCAGTATATTTAATGTTGAGCAAAAATAGCCACTACTCTATTAAAATTAATATGAAAAGATATTTTTACCCTTTCTTCATGAGTGTTGTGTAAATATTAAGGACATGGTGCCCTTAACATTTGCACTCTACACATGAAGTTAAGGACGCCATGTCCTTAATATTTACATTGCACATATGAAGTTAAGGACTTGACATGACACTTTATCCTTAATATTTACACAACATTTATGAAGTTAAAGACACTATGTCCTTAATATTTACACAATACTCATAAAGTTAAGGATGTTATGTCCTTAACATTTACACTGCATATATGAAGTTAAGGACATGAGGTCCTAAAGTTTAACAACAAAAGGTGCAAATATAAATTAAGGACATTATGTCCTTAACATTTACACTACACACATGAAGTTAAGGACACCATGTCCTTAACATTTACACTGCACATATGAAGTTAAGGACATGACATGACACTTTGTCATTAATATTTACCCAGCATTCATGAAGTTAAGGACACCATGTCCTTAACATTTACACTGCACATATGAAGTTAAGGACATGACATGACACTTTGTCCTTAATATTTACCCAGCATTCATGAAGTTAAGGACACCATGTCCTTAATATTTACACATCACCCATGTCTAGCATAGGGGTATTTTTGTCCGGGCGGATAAATATTTATTAAGCACTGGCTAAAGAGTAAATACATTTTAAACAGTGGCTAAAGAGTAAAGACACCTCTAATTATTGGCTAACTGTGCACTTCCCCCTTTTTCTCCTTCTTTCGTTTTTAGTTCCTTTAATACAAAATTATTTATACTTAATATAGCAAATTATTTTATTTTTTACTTTAATTTTTTTAATCCAATTATAGTTCAGTATTAATACATAATAATCAACTTAATTAATTTTATTCTTTTTCAAATTCCCCCCTTAAAATTAAAAAGCCTCAAATTGCAACTTATCGCTCCACAAATAGAAAAATATAAATCTTTCTGTCACAACTTATTCAACAATAACTTTGACTCCGACTCGGCAATGGAAACTAAGAGTCTGAGAGTCTTCTTCAATTCCTTGACTATTAATATATTCTTAATCTTGATTTCTTTAGTAAAACATGCTTAATCAAACAATTTCCCTTCCCATAGCACCTATTTAGCGCAGAAATATTTCTCTGTTCAGTGATTTTTTTTCTTTAGAACTTCCTTCTGTTTATACTTGGATGATAAGTCATCATAATCATTAAGTTTTCAAAGAGTTGCACGCCGAATTTTATCGCTAGTGAGTAACATATAGTGTTACCCCCGTTGTGCTCAAATCTTGGGTCCGCCTCTGTGTATAATTAATATATAGCAAACCATGGTATTAGCAATACCAATGTTATTAATACATGCATTAGCGTGGTTAAAGATAAAATTGTCCTTAAAGCTAAAGAATATGGAGGGTATTTTTGTAAACAACTAATTTTTTTAAAAATTATGCAATGCATTTTAATTTTTAATACACCACACCAAATTGTAAATAAGAAATAATCTGTGTACATAACTAATGTTTGCATTACTAACATATGCATTACTAATACATCTTATTCAACACTATTCTTATATACCCTACCAAACGACCCCTAAGAGTAGAGGGACTCTTAGATGATACAAATATCACCAAAATCCGTTATCGAATTTTCAAAAAGAGAAACGCAAACCAGAAAAGTATTTTTTGCATAATGAAATATTTACTGTATTTTAAAGGTTTAGGCTTTTTGTTGGGGTGAGTTACAAATTGGACATATTTTGTTGTTAATTTTGACGAACAGCAGTGAAACATATACTTGAAAAAAGAAACAGTAAGTTACTTTCTTCTTCTTCTTCTTTTTAGTCAGGTTGCTCTCTCCACTTTCAACTAAAGCTTATAAATTTTTTGAAAAATCTGCTTCTTCTATAATATGTAAAGAGAAGAGAAAATAATTTAATCCAAAATGCAAGCACTATATAAAAGCCTCCATTTATCCTTTCCATCTACATATATTATTTTGCTGCTCTTCTTTTTAGGTTTCTTTTTCTTTATATCCAAGTGTTGATTTATTTAAATGGAATCAAACTTGAAATATTTATAGAAATATGTTTTCATCCACAAGTGGGAGAAGTCATTTTTCTCCTTTAGCGACAAAATATTGCTGATTCCTGGGTATAAACTAAACCAGGAAGAACAATTCTTCATGGTACAGAAGATAAATTAGCTCTAATGTTCCTTTCTCTCTCAAATTATGCATAAGAGATTTTCATATCAGCTCCAAGGTTTACATGCATTACTGATTGGTTGAATGCACTGGAGAACGGAGATATAAGAAATAATAAATACCCAACAAAAAGTTGTCTATAGTATAGCATCTATCTGCGATTCATTGAATTTTGGTTACACAGGAAAAGTTTGCGGACAGATAGGTTTTTCCAGATACAAAACTTGAGCAGAATAAAAACAACTACTTTGTATGCAACAGCCATAAGAAACAACACCAGTAAATTTTTCCACTTAGCGTTCCTGTAATCAGATATATCATAGATATTTTCCAGAGCCTCATAACCAGATATATTTCTCACCTGCCCAACAGCAAAAGAAGTTCCAACGTACTCATTCTCCAACAGTCCCTGGTACAAAGAAAACTTTTTAAGTTTACTCAGAGAGATAATTAGTGATCAAGAATATACACTTAATGAATTCAAGCAAATTCTCAAACTTACCTGGATAGAGTAAGTATGAAAAGCAATATAAGAAATGGGGTACATCCATACCGGTCCAGGCAAAGCACTTCTGATTCTAAAAAAACCAGCGGAAAGCATCATTATCACCTGAGACACAAGAGATGAAAGCCGTTTAACGGAACACTCAGGTCTCAACTCAACATGAAATGGTATTAAATAATATTCCCACAAAAGAATCCTATCTAACACTAGCATAGCAAACATTTCAGAATGCCCAACTTCATTGATTCCCTTTTTCAGAAAGTTGACCCTTATGACAAAGTAGAAGCACACACAGCTACCATCATCACTGCCTATTTTCTAAATAATAGAATATGATAATATTACACCAAAAGGAAAGGCAGCGAACCTATTGTCAACTCCATCAATGATTTAAGGCAGAACTTACATGTATGAACACAAAACTTAAGATGCTCCAGAAGATATTTTGCCAAATGGAAGCAATAAGCAGTAGCAACCCCTCATTTACCAATAGACACGCAAAGAAATTCAACACAAAGTACATCAGCAAGCTGAACTCATTCCGCAGCCCAATTAGAAAATAGAAGACCAGACTTGACGAGATGGAGATAAGAAACAAGAAAGGGATGCTGGCAAAAAGCTGCCCAAGCAGGAAAACAAATGCCCCAGAATGCTGGTTTGATTCTTCGCAGGTGTATATCTGCAAGTCATCAAGATGTTTGATTAGGGTTTTTCTTTTAACTGGACGAGGATACTAATAACAGCCCATTATCAGGGCAAATAAAAATCAAACTTTCTAAAAAGCAAGGAAGACTTAATCGAAACCAATGACAAATTGAAATGTTTAATTTGGAGGATACTCACTATCTAAATGCTCTATTTTGCAATGGAACAAAATACAAGACCTATATGTCATTGCGGTATCAGATTTTCCACTTGAGCTTGGCATCTTTAGTACATGATTAGATTATTACTGCTAATTATGTCCGTAGCACAATCAACATATAAATGCAATCTTAATCATCAATATTGCGCCTCACCAAACATACTAAAGGTTCCCAGCTGCTTTGTGAAATCAAGTTCGAAGGCTTGCTTGTCAGGACTGATGAGTTTGAAACAGGTGTATGATTCAATAAACCAGGCCAGAAATGTGACAGTCCTACTGAAAAGTCGAGATATTTCAACTATTGGAGAAGCCTAGTTCTGAGAATTTTAGTCGCTTCAACTCTGCACTTATCTACATTTCTCCCCACTAATTTGAACAAGTTTGAATGAACAACAGTGCTTTCGATAATAGATTGATTACAGTAAGAGTGGAATATGGAGATATGATACTACAAAGGGAAACTTTAGTACAGGCTCTTCAACTTGAATCCCATGTTTAGTTCATGAGTTTGAAGAAGATACTGGAATGAGGATCACATTTCTGTGAAGAGAATGCCCTGGGTATACGAAATGACCATAAGAAGGTGTATGCATAGTCCACGCTCAGCCTACCAAACAACCCTTGATTCATAAATACACACATGTACTGGGTTCATTTAGTTCATGGCGTTCGCATATAATAAGTTTTATAGAAGCATGCTTGTGCAGTATCCAGAAGAAACACGAATAAGTTACTGACATCACCTTGATCTCTTTCAACTGTGCAGGTAGACTGGCGACGCCTAGCAGAGAGGTGAACGAAACAAATACAAATATTGCTGCTACTCTTGTCTGCATGGCAAGAAAAACATCATAGTTTGCAAACTGAAAACAAGGGCAAGCAATGGCAAATAGTTTCTATCAGATAAATATCAAACAGCAATACCAAGTCACTCTTATGTGATTACAGGAAAAAATAGAAGTGAAAGGGTTTTCCTCATGTTGTCCAGCCATAAATGAAGAAATACATGCAGTTCTTGAGTTAGTTAAATATGGTCGATTTCATTTCAACCAAAAAAGCGGGAAAAGATATGCTTCATGGGCTGTGTAAACAGCAAAACCTGGAGGATGTGGTGCACAAATATCATACGGATGGACAACTGAATTAGACATATGCAAAAGGAAAAAGACACGTCTGATTCTTTAGTTATTAGCTTACCATGACAGACGACAAGGAATGCCCCAATCCAGAAAACACAGTGCCAATACAAACGGCAAGAAGCATATAAAGAATCAACCTTAGCCAATAATATCTCCACTCCCTTGACATAATCAATAAGGATCTCCAAGTCAAAACTGCAACTCGTGTTGCATTTCCTGCCATTCCTTTGCTTTTGAGATATGGACCTTCCTGTAGGACGGGAAACAAGAGATCAGAGACTATATTGAAGCTCAGGGAGTAAGTATGGTTTGTTTGACCATTAAAACTTTTGTGATTGAACACTCTAGGGCTTCCTAAGCCACTTTTTTTCTACTTGACAACGATTTATGAAATATTTTTTTAACTACAATTAATTTGCAAAAGATTGTGACTTATACTACTTTTTACGTAGCTTTTTTTTAATAAAGACTTTCTGTGCAGTTTCTTAATATACAAATTATTCTTTTTAAAGATAAGAAATCAATATGAAATAGACAGAAGCTAAATTCTAGGCCTAATGAAACCAAAAACTTCAACTCACACAAGAAGTTAATGGTAATTGGGCCAATCTAGTTTGTCAAAACAAACCAAAGCAGACAAGAGCATCCTTCAACAGGATGCTCGAATAATGTTACTGCCCAGAGCACACGTGCTTAATAGCTTATGTAAGTAGTTGGCCCATATCAAGAATGGGAATATTTCCTAGTGTCTAGTGGCCACATTAAAGTGTGCATCACTTAGATCTCTACTTTACACCTTCAAAATTTCTTGGAAAAAGATTGAGCAAAGTTAATACTGACAATCCACGATGTCAATAGTGACAAAGGTGAACAAACATACCTTCTCCGTAAGTTTAACTATTACAAACATACCTCTTTTTTTTTTGTTATAAACATACCTTCTCAGTAAGCTTCATTATCATTGACTCAACAGCAGCAGCGTCTGCCGATGATCTATAGGTTGCTTCAAGGGTACGTATAGCAACGGCAGTATCCATGCTCACAGATGATAAGTCTCCATGGTCATCCTGTTGAGATGATAAAATCACAAACTTAAAGGAAAATTTTCCCTTTTGTGTTGGGGAACAGGAGGGGATAGGATGGCCAGAGAACAGGTGAGAAAATCTTTGAACATTCATTTTGCAACTTAAAATAAAAGAAAATTTTCTGTTCCTCTTTCAAAGAGCTTACCCCCGTGCAATAAAACAATAGCATGAATATGGAGAAAAGAGGTGGCACAACGAACCGAGTTGGAATTGTTTCAATATCCTAACTACTAATCAACAAATCAATCACTATCTTTAACCATTATGACTGAGTTTTTAAAAGCAAAGACGCAGAACTTTGAATGCTTATAAGCAAATACCTGCCAGCTTTTGCACATTGCAATAATCCTGTCAAATTCTGTGTTTATAGCACGCAAGAAGTGATCAGAAGGACTTTGCATTATTGGGCAAGGAAATCCAGCATTGGAGAAGTGCTTCACAAATTAAATGATATGTCAGTCTCTAACAATCAGTAACATTAACAACAGAGTATTGATTCAAAACATAATGACCAGAGAACAAACATGTTAAGAGCTACGTATTTCTAAAAGTATTTCATAATTGTGCACACGCTTGGTGAACTAATTTTCCCTCTATGCGCCCCTTAAGTAAGTTTGTTCAGTCTGAATCCCTGTTAACATTGACTGAGTTTAGAGGAACTCCTTTCCTTTCTTCCAACAACTACCCACGGATTCTGAAACATTTAGTCCATTTGGAACGTTTGTCACCACTCACCCAGTATTTCTCTAGACAATTTCCTCTTTGTCAGAAACCAACAAACTGAAATTTTGTGATTTCTTCCAATTTATAAGGAAATCTTATAAGAAGCTATAGGGATCTTTATTGGGCAATAAGCTTCTAAGCAACAATTTGGACTTTGAAACCCAGACGCTCGCACTTCAAATATGTCCGACTGACACAACTTATCCTGCAAAGCTGTACTCTATTAAAAGGCACATTCCCCATAGTAACCATCCTAACTTGAGTAAATTTTTGTTTCAACATTGCTAAACCACTCTTGGCTGCTTTATTTCAAAATGAGAATAAATAAAGAACTTCAGCTGAATCAACTGCATTCATTTTCTCTCTTAAATAGGGTACCATCTGACTAACAATTGACTTCTTTCTCTTCAGATAACCCACACCCAGAAGTGGGTCTATCCTATTGCAGCACAAAAAATATCATTCATTATTCAATGCTTTTGTCTGATGCAATCAAGACTGCTAAAAAACCAACCCTTTACACGAACCAAGATGGACAGTGTAACAAAGCATACAAAGGTAAAACTACCTGTAAGCAAGCCAATGTTTCACCAAAGAATAATGTCTTTCCATTTGAGAGGAGGCAAATTCGGTCAAAAAGGCCAAATACTTCAGTACTACTTTGGTAAATGGTGAATATCAGAGTGCAGCCGGAGTTGGCAAGCTTCTTCAATGTAACCATCATCAGAAGTGCAGAAACGCTAAACATAACAAGGAGTACTAAACATCAGCTAAATTGGAGTAAGCTCATTATTTTTGATAAGTAGAAGAGGGCCAAGAGCATCAAGTCTCGACCACAATGAATAGCAAGTCAAAAACACAGAAAATTAATAAGGAAATATTTAGAGAGCAGGATATCACATGTTCTTCCTCAACCTTAAATGGATGCTTTCACGTATGACAGAAAAAACTTCAGTAACCAAGCAAATCAAAGCATCTTCACATTCTCTTCTGGTAACTAACTCCTAGAACTAGAGAGACCTATACGCGCTAAGCTAGCAATCCTAAATTTCATTTGCAGGTCTTTCCAAAGAATGATTGCAGCCTTTTTCTATTAACATGTTCTACCCATTAATGCTGAAATATTTACTGACCTTTTTTACTAATTGACCTTTCAAATCACAAAAACTTTCAGCATGATTTGATACATCCCAACTTTATTGACATACTTCAATAGCTCAATGAATGATGTGGTCTTTTTCTGTCACCACATGCATACTATATAAGACAAGTAAATCAATGTTTATGCCTAATTATTTCGTCAAATAAACATGGAGCATTAGTATTATTTTACATTTATTGGACAGAAAAAATAGAACATACCAAATATTTGGCTGTTTAGCTACTACAGCAGCTATAGGACACACACAATTTGACACTTATCCTATGCTACTAATTCAAAGTAGTCTAGTCATTAAGAAGATCCTTGATGCAGTTATGGATACTGAATATGTCAGCGTAAACTCAATGAAGTTCAACAAAAACTGCTGTGATTTTCTAACTAGGAGTAAGAAGNCAGTTATGGATTCTGAATATGTCAGAGTAAACTCAATGAAGTTCAACAAAAACTGCTGTGATTTTTTAACTAGGAGTAAGAAAAGAACCTGTCAAGACGATAAAGGGGTTCATCTATAAATAAAATATGTGGTCCCATGACAAGTTCCCGAGCAATGCTGACACGCCTTCTCTCACCACTTCGAAGACCTTTCATGTAACAATGGCCACCTATAAGGTTATTAGCATAATCTCCCAGTGACATAGCATCTATAGCATCCTCCACCACACTCCTTTTCTGACAAAAGAAACCAGGAAGCTGAAGCAATGCTGAATAGTATAGGAACTCACGCACTGTTAGTGATCCAATAAGAGTAGTTTCTCTGTCAACATATCCCTGCGAATGAGCGAACTTTCCATGTCAGAAGGCAGAAGCTGACAACAACAAAGAAAACCACTGCCCCATTCGTAACCTACTTGATTCAACTGATGTTTTCTTCCAAAGAGCCAAAAGTACCAACACTTCTGAACTGTAATTCAAACCAAATAACTATTCATACTTTATCTTATTTAATATTAACGTGATGGTTAGCCTACCACCTAAATGTTTGAGATATTGCTTTCAATGTGTTACATTATGTAGATTGTATTGTGCTCAAACCTATGCAAAATATGGTTTTTAGAGCCCCTTAGGCAAGACGCACAATTGGTTGAGTGGAAAGAACGATTTAATCTAAAAGGTTGCGACCAGGAAGGGGTTCAAAGGCCTAAATGCATACCTGCAACTCCTAACTCAGCCAGGAAATAAGCAGTTGCATGAATTTTTTGCGCTATTCAAATGGGATAAGAAAATGGAAAAAAGGATTTCCAAAAATCAGTTATATGAAATTATACCACGTCATCGCAGTTGCATGAATATTTTGCTTCAAATGTGAAAGAACATCTTCTTGCCAAAGGAACCCAAAGGTCACTGAACCAGTGGTCATTACTATGAGAGTGATTATGATTTTATATTACAAAAATCAGTTCAGAGGGAACAGCAGCTAATGTGATGTAAAAACTATAAAACAGAAAGTCAAAGTTCAAAGTTCGGACATATATCTTTTCGTATTGGGTACGCAAGCATGACCACAAGCGATAGTAAACGCTTACAACATACATAGGAACCATAAGGCATGTGCATTTTTGTTCCGTTTACAAACACCTCGCCGTACATTCTCGCTGAATCAGGTAACCTTCCTAAAACAGAAAAAGAAAACTAGTTCAGAATCATACACAAACAACTACATGGTCTTCTATATACTGACTCTGAACTGAACACCACAAACCTGCAAGAGCTCTCAAGAGTGTTGATTTCCCTGACTTGGCGGGACCCATGATTACAGTCATCGTTCCAGGTAATGTACAACCATGTGAACTCTTAACCACCTTATCGGAGTATTTTCTTTTTCCCTTTATAGTTACAGTCAAGTCCTTCCAAGCAATAGAAGCCCCTAAAATCTTCCTTGTAACACCTGTCTCCTCTGGTAAACGAGGAGAGGGTAAGGAACCACTATTGATTTTTGACAGGGAAGGGGAGTGTGGCGTAGTCGCAGCATGTATAGAATCACCTCCTTCGTCGACTTTGACCTCTATATCTGTCTCATCCCAAACAGGTGAATCTTCAAAAGAAATTGGTTGTCTAAATGCACCAGGTTTCCGCAAGTAGAAGAAATTACTTGATGGCACCCTACTAGCTGGACTACTAGCTGAAGATGATGAAGACCTGTAAGGATCTGATTGAGACTGTATTTCTTCCATTCTTCAGAATTCTCCAATATATTTCAACTGCTTCTTCCCTAAGGGAAGAACTAGACCAGTTTTGCAGAACTTCTTTCAACCTATATAGATAGCAGTAATTAACAAATACCACAGGTAATTTGTTATGCATAAAGAACAGGAAAAGACAATAATGAAAAATAAATGACATCTACGACTAGAAGGAATAACATTCAAAAAATTCTAATCAACAGGACAAATTTTCATGTTGAGCCTTTGGCAGTTTGCAAGAAAATTAAAATATATTAATCAATCAATAAATTGCACCTCTATTAGTTAAGTATTCAGAGGATTCATCATAGTAAACTATTTTTATGCTTTCTGTGACCCTATTCTTAGGCTGGCCAGATCCTACAGAAATCCTCGAGAAGCTTATATGGGCTGAGTTTTGAAAAATGAAAAGATATTAAAGAAAAATAAAAACAAGCAACTGGGTATTGGAAGCTTATGAGCTTAAGAATGTCTATAAATAAATCCGATATACATGAAAAACATTGATAGGAAAGAACCCTTTTTGTCTCTTTCTCTTTAGAAACGCTATGCATAATTTTGGTCATTTGAGAACTAAAGAGAAGATAAAGCAAAAAACTTTTCAGCTCTAACAAACACCTTCCCTGTTTTCTTGGCAAAACAAAAAGCTGGACTCACATAAATAAAACCCCCCCATAAAACTCAAAAGCACAAATACAGAAAGTTTAAGAGCTTCAAATGATAACCAGAAAAGCTGACTTCAAAATGGGAAGCCCACAAAAAGTATTTAGCAAACGAAGAGGGAAATGACGAACCTGGATCTGAATGATAGCCCAAGAGCACTGTGTCACAACATGAATGATGAAGGCTGGAACTAAGAAAGAGTGACACTCCCAATTATTAATGGATCCTTATGACCCGGACACAACGAATGGAATTTATTCCTACCCATATTGGTCTATTGAGAATTCTTTTTAACTTTTTTTAATTACATTTATCAAGAAAAGAAAATTGAACTTGCGCATTTTTTGTGTAAATATACTCTAACTGATATTAGAAAGAAAAACAATGGGAGGAAGGTAAGAAAACCTTTTTCTTAATCCTCCGAAAGTTGAATTTTGTTGAGTGGGAGCTAAGTGTCTTAATTAATAATAAGATTGTAATAATTACACCCCCGTGATTGAAAATGGATAGTAGTGTTATGATAAAAATCAAAATATGGTGGATGTCTACTCTTCCTTCATGATCTTTCTCTCAAATGGTTAATGACATATTCAATGACATATTTTCTATGTTCAATGACATATTTCATGATATATTTTCTTCACTTTTCATGCCTATATAAAGGCCTTGTAATAGATAGANTCCTTTTAAACTCTAATAGAATTTAAAAGAAATATTCTGACTACAAACGGTTGTATTTCATATAAATGCTACAAATGATTAATAAAGCTTTGCGTTGATTTGAGATTTGTACACTTATTTAACAAAGCAAATTTGATTTGCTAAGATGCAAATTAGTTGTGTATAACTTTCTTGGCATGTGATTGAAATTAAGTCTTGAGAATGAATCTCAATATTGTTTAGCCTATTATGCCATTGATTGAGGGTAAGACATCGAGATCAAGTCCTGATGCTCCATAATGATAAGAGTTGGGTTTGAGTCCCAATTTATTATGACCTAACATGCCTTTATATTGGTAAGATATTGGGTTTGAGTCCCAATGTACCATATTTATGATATAATGATGACTAAAGAAAAATAATATATTTTTCATGAAAAGGCATGAAAATTGTCCCACTTGATTTGCTACATTCTTGAAGTAAATGTAATAGCAATGCATAATAAGTCTAAATGAAGACAAGTGGTTGAACAATGAACGAGAGCGTTCCAAATAATAATAATCATCACAATGATTATAAAAGGAGAACAACAAGGGTTCTCAAAATAGTCCTTCAAAATGTGAAGGCAATGTTTATCATCAAATTGGTATGAAGCACATCACTGATTATGATCCATTCCTTGAAGAGAATGTGACTTGTGATAAGCATTGAGAATGCAGACCCATTCCTAAAGGTGAATGTGGTAATATGTGATAAAAGTAATGAATAAAGACATACAAGACATGATTGGATGAGTACCACACAACTCACCTTTGAGGGAGGTTTGAATAAAATAAAGAGAACAAATGTTATTGTGTGGTTAAATGAATATGTCATTGGTCTCGTACATGTGATACGCCAAAATATTTTGGCATACCTTATAAAAATTATTAAAGGCAAAATTAAAGCAAGAAATAATTTTGCTTATGATAATTTTGACCATGACAATTTATTATGATATAAGTTTCTCCGTGAATGAGACATTTACCATATGAATGGTATGATAAAAAATCTTGTAGTACAAAAGTTGTTAAGAGCTCCAAAAAAAACTAATTTGTTACTACCCGGATGAATAAAATTATTCATGACATTGATATTGTAAAGTCTCAAAAGAAACTTTTTGAATTTCAAATGTATAAGTCAAAGTGGTTGTCAAATTGAGACTATAAATGAAATGAAGATTGAATATCTTCATATTTCTATAATCATACCGGGTAAATATAAAAAGTTACCCGATTTTCTTCCTATTTGTACTACACAAATATAAGCATGATGATGGAATCATACGCCACAAGTAAACTAGAGGTTTACTAAAACAAATATTAATTGGCATGACCGGTTGACCATCTCGGTTCAATTATGATG